TTTTTTTCCCCAAAACGTAGGGACATTTTTGTAATATCATTTATTATTATTATTATTATTATTATTATTATTATTATTATTATTATTATTATTATTATTATTATTATTATTATTATTATTATTCATTACCCTATTGTGGTGGCTGGCAATCCAATTAATATGTCATTATTTACCTATTGATTACGCTCCAATTTTTATTTGACTCATATTATTCTGACTGGTAATCCTCTCCATAATTAGTGGCAATCCTTTCCATATAATTACTATTTATATTTAACTTATATTATGCTGGCTAAATAATGAAAAAATATATATTTCCATAAAATAAAATATGTCAGCACTTATCTAAATAATTACTTACTCAATAATTATTTATCCTCTCCATATAATTAGTTCCGTATTGATTATAAAAATTATAGAAATTTAAATTATTATTAATTAGTGAATTTTTGGTATCATTTTCCTTTTTAGTTAATTTGGTTTCCTTTTCTATGTTTTTTACTGTTAACAAATTATTAGTATTAATCTCCTTTTATATTTTCCTTTTTAAGCTAATAATTTATATCCAAAATTATTGTACATTTATTTTAGTTTCATTTCCTTTTCTATTTTTCCTACTTTTACTCCTAACAAATTATTAGTATTACTCTCCTTTTATATTTTCATTTTTTACTGCTAATTAACCTTATTATTATTATTATTATTATTATTATTATTATTATTATTATTATTATTATTATTATTATTATTATTAACTGAATCCCGTTTTCATTTCTTTTTTTTTCTACTGGTAATATTATTATTATTATTATTATTATTATTATTATTATTATTATTATTATTATTATAGTAATTATTATAGTAATAATAATTCGTTATTATAGTATAGTATTTTAAATTAAATTATTTAAATTAAATCACCCTATATATTTAAATAGATTACCATAAAGTTACCATAATAATTACACAAAATAATGAAAGAAAAATTATGAGAATAATTACCCTTAATAAAAATTAGGAAATTATATTAAAAAATAATTAATATATTATGGTAAGTATAATCTATTTTGTGCCAATCATATTATATATTAAGTATAAAAATATATATGTATGTAAATTACCATAATAATTACACCAGAAAAGGTGACAATACATAATTATTAGGCAATAATATTAATAATTAATTATTAAGGCAGGTAAAATTGATTTTGTACTAATAATATTATACATTAATTACTAATAATATTGTACTAAAAGCAGTGAGTCTATATAGTACAACTCCTTTCTTAAAAGTTAAAAAGGACAACTCCGAAAGCATTGGGTGGCTGCTAACTGTCAATCACCTTGCTTTTATTTTTTATTTTTTATTTATTCTAGGAAACCTTAAAAAAAAAAAAAAAAACTTGTACCAATAATTTTACTCTAATCATCCAACCATGATATACGACATAGTACAATGTGGGGGAAACGAAATAGATTTGAGATGACTGCATTCTTTGTATTTAACAAACTATAGCATGACATCATACATCAGTCGTGTACTAAATTAAAAAAGAAAAAGAAAATATCAAGATGGTCACAATAGCAAGCACTCAAAGGATAGGGAGCTACACAATCCTTATTTGTCTTGCATGGCAAATCATTCTTCTTCTTTGCTTCATCACCACTCCAAATACCTACAATCATTATATCAACTCACAATATTAGAGTTTTCACACATCTAATAAACATGTATGTTCTCTCTTATATATTTTTAATGTAGACTCTTAAAATATATATATCATTGTGAAGTTGAAGATCTGATTTTACCGTCGTTATTATTCTCGATCGTATCTCTACAATCTTTCATAAAAACTAAACCATTAGGGTTCTATTACCAAGGCTCTTCCTCCTCAATTTTCTTTTGTTGAAGCAGAGCATCCTTACATATCTTCAAGCTCATACCAGACGATATAACCTGCAAAACCTATTGAAGTACTGGAGAATATAGTTAGAAAAATATAATAAAAAAAAATCATACGAAAAGAAAGCAGAAAAATAAGTGTGAGATTCTTTGATTGATGGGGGGGCTAGAGATTAGAAGAATTATAAGTTTGTATTTATAGGTAGAAAATACTAATTCAAAAGGAAAGAATAATAATTTATTTATTTAAGGTAATATTGAGGTAATAACATTATTATTATTATTATTATAAATTATTATTATTATTATTATTATTATTATTATTATTATTATTATTATTATTATTATTATTATTATTATTACAAAAATGCCACTAAGTTTTGGGGGGAAAACTTGGTAGGAGGATTTTACTTTTATATATATATATAGATTATATATATATATATATATATATATATATATATATATATATATATATATATATATACATACACTGGGGCACTCACATGCAAACCCCCTTAAAATACAAACATGCGGACTAATATGGGCCATAAGATTAGATTAGATTAATGGATGTGATTGAATTGTGCACAACATGTGCTGGCAACGACTGAATTAATAAAAAGGGTAGTACAGACAATTGCATGGAAGCCTAATTAAGGTATGACTGTGATTGTGATTTTATATACCTAATTTAAAGGAGACTAATTAGACTATGATTCAACCAAATCAAAACATTTGAACACCCTTCTTCGCTACGGCATTGTCGTCCTCGACAAACAGTATCCAAAAACAATTTCGGCCAACCACGACGGCAAGTAATATTGGATGCAAAGATGGAGTATATGTCGCCATCACTACCAAGTAATAATCCCACCTTCATTGTAATAGTTTTAGGGTAATGGGCGATGCAGTACACGCGAGAAATACTGAATACACACACGAGACGTGATTAATGTTGGGCGAATTCAGTGATATTGAATTGGTTAACACGTATGCAGTTAAAAACAGTTGAAAACCCTAGGGATCAGTTGGAGACGCCGAACATGGTGGTGGAGGAAAAAGATGGAATTAAAAATATGCCATTAGGACCGCACGAACACATATGAACGTGTGATGCACACCTATCGTAATCCCCCTAGATCTGGAATGAGTGATGAAGGGTCAGGTATGTAATGCAAATTTGAATACACCCCCAAATGTGACCATGCACACAGTTACAGTGACAAAAAAACACCACCCCACCCGCCGAGCGTATGAAACACAACGAACACGGACATGTATGAACTGTGAATGGTAAGGCACGATATTTATCATTGAATACATCTGTTATTGAAACTGTGCACACAGATATAGTCACCCATGCACACACCAGCGAACCCCAGCCCACATGCAGAAATGAACAGGAACACAATTACTTTAAAGTTGAACATACCACTAATTTATATTTGTTGTGGTTAATAGGTGAAGAGCAATGTGAAGACAATGCGAAACAATGTGCAATGGAAATAGCCGAAGACGGTGCAAAATACTGGACACCTGCAATAGATAATGAGAAAACACCATACAAAGGACAACGATTCGAAACAGTAGAAGCCAGGATTGATTTCTACCTAGCATACGCTAAGGAGGCCGGATTTGATGTAAGGCACGGCACTAAACATAGAAATTGAGTGGGGGAAGTGGCAATTAAATACATGATGTGCTCGCGGGAAGGATACAAGGCCGAAACGAAGGAGCCCAAAAATAACACCAACAAACGAAAGAGACGGGGGAGAGTGTCGAACAGGGTTGGCTGTAAGGCGCGTATGGCAATGACAAAGAGTAACAATGCCGGATACAAAGTCCATGCAGTCGAGCTGCGACATACACACTGTCTATACTCGAACGAGGGAAGAACATTTTTAAAAATAAACCGGCAGCTCGACATTGGACACAAGACATTTTTGGCACACTATGCAAAGGCAAACATTGGCACCACAAAACCGTTCTGACTGTTCAAAGAGATGGTAGGAAGTTTTACTGATGTAGGGGCAACGTGCATCGACTTCTGCAATTTCAGGAGGGACCTATTGGCATATATAGCAGAGGCGAATGCCCAAATGGGGATAGAAGAAATGTTCATAAGAAAAGAGGACAACCCACACTTCTATTTCGATTTCGACATAGATGAAGAAGCGCAATTATCTAGGTTATTATGGGCAGACGCAGAATCCCGTTGGAATTTTGCATGCTTCGGCGATGTCATGTCATTTGACGCTACGTACAGTACAAACAGGTACATCTCAAATCTATTTACAGCTACTCCTTATATATTTTACCTCGACGCACGAAACAGAATGCATATGGAAAAATATACTACCCTACAGCGTGTGTGCATGACTAGATTAACATGTGTGCGCAGTAGTTTGATTGACGAAAAAAAAAAAAAACAGTAACAAGCGCGCACGTCTGTGAGTAACAGTGTGCACCCCGTCACCCACCCCAGTAAAAAAAAAATACCGACTAAGCGCCTAAGGTATCGTTGTAGTGTGTATGTTCTATTACAACCCACAGAGAGCACAGCACTAACTCCAAAAATGGTGACATTGCAGGTACAAACTAGTGTTCGTCCCTTTTACGAGGGTGGATAACCATAAGAGATGCATTACACTCGGGGCATGCCTAATTGCGAAAGAGGACGTAGAGTCATACGAGTGGCTACTAACCAAGTTCGAAGCTGCAATGGAATACACACCAAGATGCACCATAACTGACCAAGACCCAGCACTAAAGGTCACTACTAAATTCACATACAACATCGGGCTTTTAACATCGGCTATATATGTAGCCGACGTTAAACGTTTTTTCTAATTTTTTTTTTTAAAATATAAATACAACGTCGGCTATTAGTTAATAGCCGACGTTAAATGTTACAAATAAAAAAAATAAAAAAAATAAATATAATACGACGTTGGCTATTAAAAATAGCCGACGTCATAAGTTTTTTTTTTTTAATCTATTTAACCCTATGACATCGGTTATTAACAAATAGTGGGCTTTTTAAAACCCTTCTAATAAACGTAAAATTTTATTTGTTTTGATAATACGACTCATCTTCCCCGCCTCCACTGTGTCGCCCTTCACCGCCACAACGACACGTCGCCACCGCTCCCCTAGACACCGGACATCGCTGCCACCGCTCACCGCGACACCGCCTAGCGTCACAGCCATCGCCACACCTCCCACCGCCCAAGCCTTCGGTTCGACGCCTCGAAGTTCACCAGCACAGCTACAGCCACCCACCGCACAGCAACAGCCACCGTGCATCTCCGCCGCTTCCCGCTGCACCGCGACACCGCCGCTTCCCGCTGCACCGCGACACCGCCACCTGCCTTCCCGAATCTCCGAGGTTCGACGCCTCTTTTTTTTAAAATTATTTATTTAAATTTTCTAATTTCTAATTATTATTTGAATTATAATAAATATATTTGAATTTATTTGGTAATTGTATTTCGAATTTTAGGAATTATTAGTATATATTTTGAATTTTATAAGTTATTGGTTATAAATTTGGAATTATTTCAATGCTCTGTGCTTGTAAATTATGGTTTTGACTTTGTAAATGTTGGTTGTAGGTAAGTAGGACATGAATTTGTTTTTTTTTTTTTTTTTTTTGGCTAATATCACTTTAAAGAGTGCTATGACTGCTGTTGCAAACTTGACATCTAACAACCAGGAGAATAGTTTGCTTGGCCAAGTAGCAGAAATGATGAAATCAAATGCCACAGGATTAAACGAAGTGTCAGGCAACCTCAGTACAGTAGTTTCAGCTGATATTTTGAAAGGGGCATCTATTGGGGCATCACGACTTTCTGATGTTACCACTCTTGCTGTTGGATATATGTTTATATTTTCTCTGGTCTTTTTCTATCCTGGAGTTGTTGCTTTAATTCGGTACACTAGAGGAGAACCTTTGACATTGGGGAGATTTTATGGAATTGCTTCCATTGCATAAACTATTCCTTCCCTATTCAGGCAATTTGTGGCAGCAATGAGACATTTGATGACTATGATCAAGGTTTCTTTTCTTCTTGTAATTGAACTTGGGGTCTTCCTTTTGATGTGTGGATGGTGGCTGGATGTTTGTACCATAAGGTACACTAGAGGAGAACCTTTGACATTGGCTTTTCTTCTTGCTCTTCTTTGTATAATATTTTTGTTTAACAAGACCATTCTTTTGTTTGGCAGTGTGTCAGATCCATTTACTGAAATTCCTACTGTCATGCTTCTCTTTCAAATCTGCATTCCTTTTTCCATTTGTTAGGTTTGTGTCTGGACCATATTGAAAAGCATGAGGTGATCAAAGTGTGAGTAACTCTTCTATAAATTTGTTTTTGTTTGTCATCTTAAAACATGTTTCACAACGAGGCTCTTTTTTGGCTGTTGGCATTTTACATTAAGGTCATTTGGTAATAATTGATATGTTAAAGGATACTTGAATGCCTGCTTTAATCAAATCTAAAAAATTTATGTACACATTTGCCCGTACAAAGTTGGTTCTGTTATTGTCAATTTAGGTATCCCCATGTACATTCTTTTCCTTCAGTAGGGCCATGCACTTTTTGAAGTTTATTGAAATTCAGAATTAATGTGAATTTACTTGAAAAATTGAACAGATAAAGGTATGTGATGTAAAGGTACAGAAATGTTTAAGAGCATTGATGGGCCATACTGGAAGTGTGAAATCCATTTGTGTTCATCTTACAAATCACAATATGCTCATGATTTTACTCCCCTCTTCACTTCAATCCTATTTTTCTACATTTAACTTTCATCTAAGGGGTCTGTCCTATTTCTATAAACTTATTTGTGTGTCTTATGACAGATGTTATTGTCTCCGGTTAAAGAGATGAGTCCTTCGCTCTATGGGATTTGAGGTGCAATGACAGCAGTGGCCAAAGACTTTGTCTACAGTAAGTATTGTTTCCCTAAGAGCTTAAGGATTACGATTTATGAATACTAATGGTGTACAAGAATGTTATAAACACAATGCATAAAGTTTTTGCATTACAAATGAACAGTCAAGTTCAGGAAAGAATAACATATTTTATATGGTCTTGAGTCACTTTCAGAGGATTTGAATGAATTTAATCAATATTCTATCTTTGTTCAGATCAATTTCTATGGTGCATGAGGCTCACATTTCTCATTGTCAAAGGCGGGGTAGACGTAGAAAGGTTTGCCTTGACAACTTTTCTTACATGATTCACTTTGTTCTTATATTTGCTAATATGATTTTATTCTAAGTAAGCCCTATTTATTTCAGGCTTATTATATGAGCATCACATCTGTTCTTATATTTTCTAATATGATTTTATTCTAAGTTACTGATACCAAATGATGAAAATTGTGAACCTATAAATACAAAGTATAAGTGGAGCTTTAAAGTTACGTTTTCTAGCAAAACTACGCTTAGAGAGAACTCTAGAAGCATTGAGCTGCAAAACTAATCAGTTATATTACATAGATTAGTGGATTAGAAAAAATGCGTAAACTTGCATTTATTTACATTAGTTAGTGATTACAATAAGCCCATAGAAAAATGTGTGAACTTGCATTTATTTACATTAGTTAGTAATTACAATGAGTCCATGCTACATTACAATCATTGATTATTTCGAATCAGATAAAGGTTTGAATCAGTTCTGATCTTCGATTTGTATTAGTGTTTCCTGCTATTTGACGCATTTGGTCCTAAGGCTAGTCTAAAAAGCACTTTCAGTTTGTTATTGAATGTAAAATATGATTGAGCTTTCCTAATTTTTTTGAAGGCAAACGAGAAGAAATCATGGAAAAGAATATCTCTGACCACGAGCAGTCTGAGAAGGATGATGAAATATCACTTTCTGTTGGGAAACGAGGTGATAATGGTGTTGAGGAATATAAATTTTTGTTATATTAGTTTGTTAATAAATTTTTGTTATATTAGTTTGTTAATATAAATTTCTAACATAAGTGGATTCTCATCGCACTATAAGTCATTAGGCTCCCTCGTAAAATTGATATCTAATTTTTGTTTTGTTGCTCTGAACATAGCCGACCAAACCATATCATTGTTTTCATTTTCATTTTTATTTATGATTGTTTTCAGTGCTCTAAATATTTTTTAATATTTGTTTTTTATTTTTCAATTACATAACACGTCGATTTTTTTACAAAAAATCGACGTGTTATGTTAATTTTTTTTTAAGATTTAAATACATTCGACGTCGGTTATTTATTAATAACCGACGTCGTATGTATTTAGAATATTTGTTAATATACATAAAACGTTGGTTATTTGTTAATAGCCGACGTTGTATGTTTTAATAATTAAAAATATATATATACAAGTCGGTTATTTATTTAGCCGACGTTGTATGTTTTCAATACAACGTCGCCCAGAACAACGTCGCTTTTAGCCGACGTTAAAAGCGTTCTGTGTAGTAGTGGGTAGTCATCCCACAGACTAAGCTAGCAACGAGACACAGATTTTGTATGTGGCACATTATGATAAAAGTAAGCGAAAAGGTAGGGGTAGCCTTGTGGCATAACGAGGACTTCAACAAGGCACTGAATAGTACCGTATGGGATGACATGTTAGACGAATTCGAGCGAAAATGGGAAACATTAATGAAAGAGTACAATCTTGAGGAACATAGGTGGTTTGTCCAATTATACGAGGCACGTGCATCATGGATACCCGCGTACTTCAACGACATACTCAAGGAGGGTTACTAAGAACAACATCGAGGTCAGAATCGACAAATAGCTACTTTGGTAAGTTTACAAACCCCCATTGCAGCTTGGTAGAATTCATTGCACAATACAATAGTGCCATTGGAGAACAAAGACATAACCAAGCAAGAGTCATCGCAGAAAATGAAGGTTCATTCCTCGAAACAAAATCCCCTTTGAGTATTGAAAAGCACGCTGCCACAATGTATACCATTAACATATTCTATGAAATCCAACAAGAGATATGGGAGGCGGGTTTCACGAGCCACATCAGAGACAAAACCAATGAAGGGGACATATGGAAGTACAAAGTTGAGGACACTAGAGGGAAAATGTTTGAAGTTACAAAAATGGCAACAACGGAAAAAATAGAGTGTGCATGCAACAAATTCAACCGTATGGGTCTACAATGCAGGCATGTGTTGTTGGTTATGAAGATAAAAGGATACGAAACCATCCCGGAAAAGTATATTGTTACACGCTGGACATGAAACGCATGTGCACAACCAATGTACAATATTCCATGGGCAAGAAAAACAAATATTCCCAAAACGAACGAAGTAACAAAAGTTGCCAATCAATTATAGAGTGAATTCTACAACTGCATGAAATTGGCGAATGGTTGGCCTAGCAAAATGGACCAAATGTTACCAACATTACAACAACTGAAAGATCTAGAAAGGGAGAGGCAACAAACACAAGAGAGTGGCAACAACAAATCTGTGTTCGAAAGACTAGTAGGATCAAGCAGACCATGAGACATACACATAAAACCACCCAAAATCGCAAAGAACAAAGGAAGTGGTAAAAGATTAAAAAGCAATAAAGAGAAAGCCACCGCAAAGAAACACCTGAAAAAAGAGAGGACGTGCAATATATGCGACCTCCCAGGCCACAACAGTCGTATCTGTCCAGACAAACTTGCACCAGGCGAAGTTTAGAATAAGTTTATTTCAAGAACACTGAACAATGGTTTTTAGTTTCCATTTATGAACCATATTTGAGAACTTATTTTAAGTAGCCTTTTCTGCAGTTATAGTTGGCCGAATGACCCTTGTTTAATACTACGCGCATGCAACGGACCTTTCGGAATAACTATTCCTACCACCAGATTCCCAAGAAACGAACAACTTACAACCCTCCGCACACGGGGAAATATGGATGCGCACACACCTAACACCCAATAGCACCGCAATGCCATGTGAATATGTGTCCGAAATTAGTGAACAACGGTTTGCAATAAGTTTATTTCAAGAACACTGAACAATGGTTTTTAGTTTCCATTTACGAACCGTATTTGAGAATTTATTTTAAATATCCTTTTCAGCAATTACAGTTGGCCGAAGGACCCTTGTTTAATACTACGTGCACACGCCCCGAAAAAAACGTGCACACGACGGACATTTCGGAGTAACTACTGGTGCCACTTGATACTCAATAAACAAACAAAATAGACCCTACGCACACGTGGAAATACAAATGCGCACACATCTAAAAGACAATACCCTAGCAACACCACGTGAATGGGTACGAAATTAGTGAACATGAGAACAACCAAACCTCTGTGCACACAGGAAAGGAAAGTACATCCAGTACAAAAACAAACACGAATAAACAATACCGAAACAATCGCAGCAAACAAATCGAACAGAACAAAAATAACCCCAACAAAAAAACAGAAGCTAACAACTACGTTACCATAACTTAAACATGGACTACGACCCATATAGCAACATAAACTAACAAAACCATGCAACGATGGGGGCGCATACACGCGCGTATCAATGTGCACAAACGTAATGCGACCAACAACTAAAACAAGAGTAGTTTGCAATATACACGTGCACATAACACCAAAAATCCACCCAAAACTACCTAAATACGACAAATGACTACACGCACGGTAGAGGAGCAGATACCGACTGGTACGCTCAAGAAAGATTGGCCAGCCTGTGCACATTAAAGTCCGAAATCACAAGCTCCTTCATGTAACGCAACCTCAGTTTGTGAAGAGTAGTAGTGTCCCCCTTCACCAGACCACACTCCCAGTCCCGGACGCGCTGACCAACAAACGACTACAGCCGCATGAGAAACACCCAACAATCAATCATATTCTTTGACTCCCGCCAAGCCATTTGCAACCGCTTAGATTCCATCAAAACACACGCGGTGGACCGCCCCGGAGAAATAATTTCAAAGAATTTAGATAGCATCCCCTGCTGAACTCAAAAAAAAAAAAAAAAAAAAAAAAAAAAAACATTCAGGGGTAAGTAAACAAGGGAAACAAAACAAACGGTGGGGATTAGGTGCACAAGGAGCACCACTCACCATGTCCTCAATACAATCACCATATTTCGCTATCTTTGATTTTGAATTCAAATCATTGTCAATAATCTCTAGACGACGCCGGGAGAAATGAAAGCACAACAAGAAATAGTGCCCACGACGCAAAATGGGGAAAAAAATCTGCACACGACGAAGTATTAGCAATTGGGGTGATACTGTTGTGCACAGAAATGAAAACCAATGTGCACAACCAGGGTCCTATGTGCACATGCTAAAGGGACAGTGTGCAGAACCATGCAAAGGCAAGAGCAAGAATGAAGCAATTGTATAACCCATACCATGTCGACCTCAGAGATATCTTCATATGGTGACAACTTTAAGTCCATCCTCAACCTCTTACAGAACCAAGCAAGCCTCTTCTTCAAAGGCTGGAAAGTATCAACAACTGTAGACAACTAAAAAGCCAACCAAACAAAAATATGTATAGAATGAATACAAAGAAGGAAAAAAAAGAGATCGATTAAAAATGGAAACAGAAACCATGGAATTGAAACTAACCGTAGTGAACGTAGAAGCGAACAGGCGAGAAGGTGCGGCCCGAGCCTTAGTAGCCTCCTGGTGATTAAGAACAGCTGCCCACGCGTTTATAACACTCACATCCACTTCAGAGCCCGGGGTCAATGACAACAAACACTCCCACGACGTAGTGCGTTCCCCAATACGAAATATAGTTTCAACCCTAAAACAAACGAACACCCAGAACAATCAACGCAAATAATACAAGGAAAAAAACTATAAACACAACACAGTAAGAAACAAAACCAGTACACTAACATGTTAGCAGTCGAACCCCCAAGCAACCAATTGACTATTAACGCATCCTCCGAAAGGTCAAGCATGGGAAATGGCACAACTTTACTAGGGCCCGACGGCTGATACTGAAGCCGAGCGGCAACAATCGGGATAGAGGCTACAATTGGATTAACAGGACGCACAGCTTTAACCAGCGCCGCACAACCCGGGCCATCAGACATAGCTTCCTCACTTCCCACATTCCCTTCTAAACACTCCTGCCAACGAACAAACAAAGGAAGGAAAGAATGACACCATAGCTGCCATGCACATAACCAGACACGGGCTTGCACGCACCCCAAGCCATTGAAGAAGTAAATGTTTCATAAAATGCAACGCACATGTTAAGTGCCCCATGAGCACACACCAAAAATGCAACGCACGAGTCAAGTGATTCATAATATTACGTCATAATTTAAATAGAATTTAATTGGTCAATTGACATTTAGCAATAAATTATGATACGCCAAACGCCATAATCAATAGGGCAATAAACATGATGTAACTATTAAGATAATTAATATTGTATATTTCAGAATACAACACTCATAAAATAACGCCAAGCACAACGGCAGAGACCTGCGAGCACAAACCGTGCAAAATATATCTAGACAATTACGCAGAAACCGAACTACCATGCACAGTTACAGACAAATGATAGCACACACCAGTACAACTAACAACTGCCCAACACACAACAACATACCCAGCCCCAATCCACAATATATTAACCAGATGGTAACAAACATAAAACCAAAGAAGTGAACCTCAAGCGGGGTACTAAATGCAACGCCCAGCGAGGTAGGGCAAACACCCGAGCCTGAACCCACACACTCGACGACAAATGCATTGCCTTTATTGGCATCATCCGCCCAAGCACGCACAGTTCCCGAACTTCCCACACCACCTTCTTGGGAAGGCTGACTAACAAACTCCTACAACAAACCAAAAACCATAATAATTCCCACCCAAACAACAGCTCACAAAATATTGAATATAATAATTTAGTGAATCTGCCTTGCACACACTAACCACAAGGGAGCAACCCACCACCCCAAAATAAATTTTAAACGTTCTCATGACCACGAAAAGCCGAAAGACCTTACCTCAGTAGGGGTCGTACCCCCTGGACACACAGATGCATGGCAAATACCAGACCCTGGACCCACTG